GAAATAAACCAAACCTACATGTGTAAATATTTTATAGTCTCCCTTGTATAAGAAATCAAAAGAAGAAATAAAAACATAAAGGTATAACACAACTAAAAGGAAAGTGAGAACATGAGAACTAAACAACAAGGGGAGGGTAAGGAGAAAAGCTGAGAAACAGGACAGGGGCAAAGCCATACACTTCTATGTACAAGATGGGCAAGGCAACGATCCTGAGAAACATCAGCAGGTTTTTGAACCTAGCAGTTAATTGGTAGGATTTTCAACCTGACTAACTGTATATGCTGATACCTGTGACCCAAGCAACTGCACTGAAGATAGCAATGTGTAATAGAAGGGTCATGATTGGAGTGCTTGTCATTCTGATCTTCTAAATACATACTTGTCATGGCATATCTACTATTACCATACTGTCTCACTAGTAAAAGGTTTTTTTGTTTTTGTTTTTCTTTTTTTAAGTGGGTAATAAATTTTAAAAAAAGACACATGAAAAAGAAAAAAAATGTCACAGGACTGTCCTGCTACAATGCTGAATATGGTTAGATTTCTAAATTTCTGTACAAAAATATGCATTTATCCCTATTTTTTAATTTTCTTTTCTTCATATTCTGTAAGGTCTTAAATTTCGACACATCAGTACTTGGTGGAAGATACCTCTTCCATGTTATGCCTAAGATGTTCAATATTTAGACAGATAGTTAGGGTAAACTGAACTGCATATTTTGCAGGGTAATAATAAGCTTCTCTTCTGGAGGTTTAACAACCTAATTTTGTAGATCAAAAATTGGAGAAAAGGAAGGGCTGTAAGGTCTGCCAACATTTTGGCCCTAGACTTTCAAGGTCAGTGAAGACTGAGGACATAGGAGAACCTGTACTGTAACATCACGTAACTCATTTGTGCCTCAAATTTTCTAATCAAGGAGATTATGGAACCACACAGGAATGTGATCAACGATGTATAGTGTGCCTAAGGAGAGTCACATGGAGAGAAAACTTTCTCTCAGACTTTCACAGAGAGCAAATTGGTGGCCATGACTCATCCTCATGGCTGACTCTGAAAAAAGGATCTACAAAGCACAGAACAGGGTTACAGGATAAATCCTGAGGGTACTTGACTGACCTTATCAGATACAAAAGTTACATTTCTTCCTTTATCTTGGTCTTAATCATTCAGCAAAAAAGTATAAAAATGAAGTATATAAAGTAAAGCCATATTAATATACTGAGCTGTAAAAGTCTTCAGTCACCAACTTCTGAGGACATCCACTACTATTTTGGATTACTGACCTGTGTTGGATTGTTTTGCTGAATTCAAACACCCATAATTTTTTTTCTTTTTTCTTTGACATCAGTTATTTTATTTTAAAGAAAAAAATGGTACAAAATCTCAAAACAAGATTTTAGGAGAGTAAAAATGGTTAGTACATTGTGTATTGTTACTGCCAAAGTAGTTTCTCATATTACAAGATACAGGCAAGAAATAGTAAATAAACAACATAGGTACAAACCTCTTTTTTTTTAAAGTTAACAGAAAATGGAAATATACTTTTTAAAGTTTCTAATACTA